TAAAAGATATCCTGAACTGTTTCCACTGAACCCTGTTTTCTTCCAGAATGAGGTAACTCGAGTTTAGAGGACTAAACTCTTTTTAAGGAGGGGAGACTGTAACAACCCTTGTCGCTGTTTACCGAATAACCACTGATTACCGTTAAACTGAAACTGATTATGACTGATAAGTGAACTGAATAAACTACTGAACTGACTGACTGAAATTGAAACTAAATTGACTGAGTATACCGGTTTAATTGTAATTCTATCTGTTTGGTTATTTGATTATCTGTTCATGCCTTTGTGTTTAAATTGCGAATTGAAGGCCTTATCGGCGGCCAAATCTGAAATTGATTGATGTTCTATGATCGTTAGAATTAATGTGAATTTATGGAATATTTATCTGAAAACTGATTTGGTATGATTAAATTAGAGTAATTAAGCCAAATTAATAGAGTTGGACTTATTTACCATTAGGCCATTGAGTGGACCACTAGCTAGTATCTTTTGAGCCTTATTACACTTAGGCACACATTTGTTCAGCCACATTTGAGAAGCAAAACCGACTGAGAGAGAGAGGTAGAGGAACTTAGCTTCATCTTGAATTTTGGTTTCAAATTTGAAGGAATTGAAGGATTGAGTGCATAGTTGAGCCTCCATACCTCTAATTCAAGACCTAAGGTAGTGTTATTACCCTCTTGTTTGTGAATTGAACTTGCTCTTACATGATTCATGTCAATTTAGTAGATTAAGTCAAGAATTGGTTCCTTAATGTTGAATTGGAGCTCATTTCATGCATGCATGTTTGAATTGTTGAATTTTAAGTTGTTTTCATGACAAATTGTCACATGCATGCTCATGGTTATGTTAAGTCCATGTTTTCATCTTTTTTTGTAAGAGTTAGCTCATTAGAGCATGAAATTGAAGCTTTGAAATGGTTTAAATTCATGTATGTTTGCATGTTCTCCATATTCATGAAAATTGGTTTGAATTAAGTTGTTTGAAACACCCTTAGGCTTTAATTTTACAAATTGAGCTTTGAATCATGTTAAAGTAGGAGTTTTGATGTGTTTTCTGAAAAATTGGCCCAAGAGGATTGAATTTATGGTTTAAAAACTTGGTTTTGAGCTTGAGGTTCAAATCTGGAATTTCCAGAATTTGGACTCACGCTCGAGCGGGGTGACTGGCGCTCGAGCGTGGAAATCGTGCTCCCAGCATTTTGTTCTGTTTTGAAGTCCGCTCGAGCGGAAGAATTGACGCTCGAGTGGGACATTGTGTCTCATGCTCGAGCGGGTGTCGAGCGCCCAATCGAGCGTGATTTTCACATATCCAGCACTTTTGACTGTTTACAGAACGCTCGAGCGGAAACCTTTGTCTGCATGTCCGCTCGAGCGGAGTAACCTATGCTCGAGCGTGACCCCTATTTTCTGAAAATTCTGAAAATATTTTTAAAGTGCATCTTTGCATCCTCATCTCATCCTAGGCATTATTAGGCCTAGTTTAAGGCATCTTAATGAGGATATAGATGTAGAACCACACCGAGGCAAATTAGGGATTAAGTTATTATCTTTCCCAACTGTGTAGCTTAGTGTGTGTTCAATCTGTAACTGTGTAGGGTTGGCGACTGGGGACGCGCTCTAGCTTATTGTAGCCCAGAACTCTGTGAGTAACAACTGTGTAAAGATATGTTCAAAATGATTATTTTCTGAACAACTGAACTGTACTGCTTTCTGAACTGATTACTGTTAACTGAATGAATGCATGTCCTATATTCTGAACTGTATTGTGGCATCCTTAGCAACTACTGTTTACTGTTACTGCTACAGAGATCTCTGTCGGTTCCCTTGTTAGAACCACTACTGTTACTGATTGATGGCCATCATTTACTGTTCGGTCTTTTAAGACCTACTGTTTACTGTACTGTTATGCTAATGGATGTACCACATATGACTCAATGACTGATATACTGAATTAACGAGCTGTTTTCATTACTGTAAGGACATTCATTCTTAACCCCTTTACGCATTGTGTTATTCACTAGGCTTTAGCTCACTGCTCATATATATATGTAAGTGTACAGGCACCATACCGCAGCTAGAAGTGTCGGGGTAAACTCCAGTTTTGTTTAGCCAACCTATGTGCCTCAAAGCGAGGTTCCGAGCCTGTCAAGCTACAGCTTAGGGGTGTTTTTAATTTCCCCGTCTGTCTCTGTATCTGTTTTGTACGACTTTATAGACTGTTACGGTACTATTTAATAGGGATTAGGTTCCTGAACTGAATGATTGTATATATGTACATACTGTTTTGTCTGACTGTATGTATTTGAATGAAAAGTCTTTTTGCATACAGACTGTCACAGCTCGTTGGATATTGTTTATTTACTGTATTGGCTTCCGCCAGCCCCTGTACTCTGTATTACTGTATTACTGTTAAGCAGGCCTTCGGTAATCTCAGATTACTGGCTGGTTACGGTGCTAAACCCATAGGGACAGGTTTGGGTCGTGACACTCTGTCTCTCTCTCTCTCTATATATATATATATATATATCTATTCTTTCCCTTCTCTCGAAAAAAAACACACCAAAAATCTAACTTCTCACTAAGATTTAGCTCAAATCTTCAAGAGTTTGAGGAAAGTTCTTACACCAAATCAAAAGAGGGAGACGAGGGTTACGTTTATAACGATTGGATTGTGTTTTTGTCGACTTTGATTTCTAGGGTTTCATTCTTTTTATCTCTAAAGCTTGAGGTAGGGATAATCTTTGAGTTATATATACATTTTTCAAGTTTATACATGTTTGGAGTATTTTATCATGTTTTGAGTTATAATTTTGGGTGGTTGAACCTTAGATGACGTTTGGAGTTGATTTCATCTGCTTTTTTTCCAAAACTCTTGAGAATATGAGTATGTTGTAATGTGTGGGTGTTGTTTTGGAAAAATTTCTAAAAAATAGAACAAAAATCTTGTTTTGATGAAAACCCTAGAATTTGGAAATTTTGAAAAAAAGTTGCGAGATTGGCAAATTGATGCTTGATAATTTACCATGTGAGTAAATGATGGAGGAAATTCTATAATTGTATCAAGTAAAGAGATTTCATGAGAAAATGAGGAATTATAGAATCTGAAAAGCTTGAGCTTGTTGTTGTTATTGTGGAAGAACAAATGCTAAAAATGATATTTAACATGTGGAGAATTCATGAATGTTGTTATTGTTATATTGTCTCTTAGAAAATATACTATGATGTTTTATTGAGAAGAGATGTGGAATATGATCACAATGAAGGATTGTGTGGATGAATTGAGAAATTGAGAAATTTCAAGATATTGATATAGAAATGTATGGCATTGGCTCGTGATTTAATTATTATCATCTTTCGAATTGGCATTGTTGAGATGTTTAAATGGAACCTTATTATTGCATTAGGCATTTGCATAGTCATTCTATTTTGTCATAAAACAATTGATTTTGAATATTACATTGGAAAAATATATTGTTTTGAAAAAGGAAATTGTTTTGTGAAACAAGATCGTATTGATTTGTTTTGGAGGTAAATACATTGGTAAGTTTGGATAGGGGGTGTGGTTGGTATTGGTTAAGTTAGCCTGAGTGTCTATGATGAGAGATTTAAAACATGCGCGGAGGAGGTACCACGTGCCTTCCGATTAGCAACTGGTGAAGTGTGAATTGGTAGTGCTTGTTATGCCTACTTGCAAATACCAACTTAGGAATTACTTGAGTCGTATTTACCACCTCTTCGAACTACATTGACAATATTGAATTGTTAAATTCTCAAGATTGCGTTATGCACAAAAGTTTCAAAAGATAAAGATATATGTTTTTGAACATGATATCGCATATGCATTCATCCCGTGAGATTGTATATAATATATATATTTTGTTAAGATTTTTCTACTAGGCTTTATACTCATCCTTATGAGATTTTGTGCAGGAAAGGATCCCACCGAGTTAGAGGCGTAGGATATGTTTTGAGGCACAAAACTCTTTTCTTTGTTGTAATTATTTTTGATGAATTAAGGGTTTTATATGTATGGGTTTGAAAATCACTTTTACGTAATCGGGCATAAGCCTTGAAATTTGTAACCCTTGAGGGCATATATTTGTATTTCATATACTAGGGATGTTAAATATATATTCGCATGTGGAATGTTCTTTTGTAAATCTCTTGATGGTTATGAATACAAATGCTGGAGATTTGAGAATGATATTAATATTGAGACTTAATTCCGTTTACATTAAACAATGGAAGTTGATGAATTTAGATTGTTTAAATTTTCAAGACGTGACATTCATCTTTGAAAAAAATCAGATTAATCGAATATCGATAACCACTTAAAATATTATACTATGTGCATTTTTTAAAAAGAACATATAACATATTCTTCATAAACAATATAAATCATAAAATGATATAAGTTATTTAACTTTTTACTTATCACAAAAATTGCAACCTACTTTTAGGTTATATATGAATAACAGTAATTGTGAGAAGAAATGAAAATGTAATTCTGAATCCATATATGTTTATAGCATTTGGAACCAACTGAGATAACAAAGTGGTTCTTAATTATCTATTTTAATAAAATTTAAAATACTGCTGTAGACTCCCAGTTAGAGGTGACCCCACCACCTCTATATACACGTAGGGTCAAAGAAAAAAGAAAAACAAAAAATAAAAAATAAAAAAATTTGACCAACCAACACCGACTGACGACTGAGGGTGCTGGGATCTCTCCCACATTCCTAAAACTTAAGTAGGAATCAAAATTTTCCACTTTCGCATGAGTATCTCACATTGTGGAGGTATATAATAAAATAATAATAATAAAAAGTTAAGCTCACAATATATTTAATATTTTATTATTTCTCATAATTTTTGATTACTATGATCACAAAAAATTATAAATTTCTCAATATATAAGGAATCAACGTCATAGATTTCCAATATCAAAAATTTGCTTTATTTATATATACATTTTTTATTGTCCCACTTTCAAAAAAGGTGTACACTTGCCACTTGTGTTACTTCTGTGGAAGTCAACAAGGTGTCATGTACTGAACCAGAAAGGTGTATTCAATTGAAGCGGTGCACTCTGTTCTTCACTTGTTTAGAGAGAGAGAGAGAGAGAGAGAGATGTGGATTTCATGGATGATAATAGCAGTGATGGTGGGAATAGAGTGTGTGGAAGCAGGTTTAAACACTTTAACTAAAGTAGCCATGACTAGTGGAATGAGTGACTTTGTGTTTGTTGTCTATTCAAACTCCCTAGCCTTGCTCTTCCTTCTTCCTTCTACTCTCATCTACCACAGGTCTCTCTCTCTATCTCTTTCTCTCTCTCCACTATCTTCATCATCTCTATCACTTCAACACTTCTTCTTTTTTTCATTGATTAATTTACAGGAAAAGACCATCCCCAAAACTTACTTTCTTGATTGTCTGCAGAATCTTCCTTCTAGGCCTCCTCAGGTATACATTTGAATTGTCCCCCACTAAATTCTAGTTTTTCTTTGACAATATATTTTTAATGCACAAAATTCGATCACAAGATTGAATATAATGTTCTAATCTTTTAAAAAAAAAAAAAAAAAAAAAAAAATTATATCAAATTATGTGATCGAATCGTGCGGATGTTGAGTCTTGTTCCGATGAGGTGGGTTTTTGCCTTTTGGGAAAATTACTATTCAGGTGGAGTTTTAAAAAATTATTACATATTAATAAAAATATTTACAATTTTAATTATTAATATTTATAATGTTTACCATGTTTTTGTAAATAAATTTTTTGATTCTTCCTTTCGTTTTTTGGTTCTTGGGAAATCAGTTGTACTGCACAGATTTTGTTATACACTGGAATTGGGTTTAGCTCTCCAACTGTGGCCTCAGCAATGACTGGCCTCATTCCGGCCTTTACCTTTGTTCTCGCTCTTATCACCAGGTTTCTACCCTCTGCTTTATTTTATTTTATTTTATTTTTTTAGGGACTAATTAGATGGATAGTTCTTATATTTTATTTGTTCTTATAATTTTAATTAATTCAATTTTAATTAAATATCAATTTTGTCTAATGGATAATGCTCATCACTGTTTATTAAAAAAAAACCACTGAATTAGTTAAGGTTGATTTGCCAAGTTGAAAAAGTTAATAATTTTACTTATTAAGTAGAACAAATGTCATATATATATATATTTCAGAAAAAAAAAACTAACTAACAATTATAATTAATTAAATCAAATTGAGTTAAAATCATAAATTTTATGTCAAAAATCGTATCAATAGAATTTACAAAGACCAAAATGAAAAAAATTCAGTATAATGTGACTTTTTTTCAACATTTAGTTTACTACCTCATATCAATATTGTACAAAAAAAAAATTTAATCACGTTTTGTTTACCAACTTATGTGTTAATACTAGGTATGGTAAATAAAATGTGCAAAAAACAAATATATTTCTTCAAGCAGTGATGTGACACTCATACGTTATTTTTATTTATTTTTATCACATAATTTATTTTTTGCTTTTTTTTCATAATTTTAAAATAATTTGTATGCGATAAAAAATGGTACTAACTATTCTGAACTTTGTTAATTGTATTGTTAACAAAATCTTTTAGTTATTTATTTGGGACGATGTATCACAAAGTCTACAATAGTAGAATATTAATGTAATTTATTAAATAGTTACTGATGATGCTATCCGTACCGAGTGGATGGATCGGGCTGGTCCAGGTTTTTCAAGTTCCGGTTTAGGGTGATGATTCCGTCAAATGACCTGCATGCAAGTCCAAAGGGGAACGGGGAGTCCCTCAGTGAACCCTCCGGTGTGAGAATTAGTAGAAGAAGGAAATGTGGAGAGGGAGAGATGGAGAGATAAAAAGCTTAACCTTCCTCTTGCCTTGCTATTCTTGCTTATATCCTTTGGTAATCATTTCATTGTCCCTTGTGACGTGCCCCCTTCCGCCGAAAGCCTGTGCCGTAGCTTACCTTGTTCAGGGTAAGGGGGCTCTGTTCCGACGGGGAGGTGTTGTCGTAATAAATGCTGTGATGGGCTGCATTAATGGTGATGTCCCGGTGCATGCAATACAGATGAATGATGCAAACATGCTGTCATACTGTATGCTAAATTAAATATGCCCT